AGACCGTTCCAAAAATGGCAGATGGCTTACGTATCGCGGCCCATGATCACAATATAATGACTGGATCGCTCATTGCGTTCTAAACTGCCAACAGGCAGTGAAGCCACCGGAAGTGTTCGAGCCACCATCTTACTATTCCCTACGGGCAGAGAGCACCATTGAGTCACAGCTAAAACACTGACCTAAAATAACCCGATTTGAAGCGAATCAGTCACACAGGATATCGTTTTTATGTTAGGTGTATGTAAATTCATTTTTACTTCAGATGTTATCGGCAATGTTTATGGTCTTTTTGGGTAGGATACGTGATATATTTATATCGTTTAGGTGGGTGTGTCTACTGCGCACTGCCGACACAGGTAACTGATCCAACACAAAATATAGCCTATTTTTTATGTACGTAATTATTCAGGAATTATTAAACATGAATGTATTAGTATCAGAAATTGATTTGAATATACAATGAATAATACAATAGCCTCTGTTACTTTACTGCTCTATGTTGTACTGAAATGAAAAGCTTACCATGCATCATCTTAGAAATAAAGCTTCATGTCTTTAAGTCCGTACTGTATGTAGTCAGTTATTTCTCTGAATAAATTATGATTATGTATATTCTTAATATCCTGATTGAGCAGCATCTATTTCAGACTCTCCAAGCTTGCGCAAATATGTAAACAATGAATAACTGTAACGTTACAAGGCGAATAAAGGTATGTGTATACAAAGCATAAATCTTTCTTCAGATTTCAGAATGAGCACTTTGTCATTTGTTATATGTTGGGGTCGTGTTGACATGTTTATCATGTTCATCATGTTCACTACTGTAATGAACGTAGCTTTTTAATAAGTAGGGGAAATTCCCGACATTAAAAAAATAACCGTTTACATGCCTAGGGTGTTTGCATTGTAAGAAAGTACAGAGATACTTCAGATGTTTTCTCATTAAATTCGTACGATTTCCTATTAATTCAATGGAATGTATGGGAATAGTAGACACACCTGGGGAGACTAATCAAGGGGAACCAATGAACAAACGGACTACAAACTGACTACAAACACCACGGGAGACAGGAAGTGACATAAAAGTCCAGGGCAAGGCACAGAGAGCATGAAACAAAAACAAGAAAGAGTTGATTTGTGAGGAGAGCACGTTTATTTTCTAAAACCAAAATAAAGCTGAACACCTCAAAATTACAAAACAAACAAACAAAAACTATCTTTCAAAAAGGTCTCTTCAGTATAATGGACAAATAGAATAATGTTAAGTAAAATTAAAATGCCGAAGCCTTCTTGCAGTGGATGTGCTGGTTTGGGCCTCATTGCTGGCTGCAGTCATGTCCACATCTCATATATAAAACACCTGTGATTCACAAATACTTAAGGAACTCGCATTCACATAAAGTAGCCTTGTTGAAAAGTTTGGTTGAGTAAGGGCAAAACGCACAAGATGCAGTACTTTCAGTGACCTGTAATAGGCAGTATCACGTCTTTTGTAGCAAAAATAAACTGCTGCAGAAAAAGCTAGGTCCATGCAAAATGTAATGTGTAACTGCAACACTCATTTCAAATGTAGTGAAGTACAGAGTAAAAGTTGTTCATATCTTTGATACTCAGTACAACTACAAAGTATCCGAAAATATACTCAAGTACAGTAACTAATTACATTTACTCCAATACTTTATACCTCTGCTCATTTGTGACTATTTTTACCTCAGAGAAACATCTGAGACAAAGTACATGCGTAAATACTCGACTGAGACCTCCTGAGCTTTGAAAGCGTATCTAGAGGTTCTCTGTTGCTCCATATGCTGCATTTACGCCTATGTTTTGGTCATTCTCAGACTGCTCGATGTTGTCTCAGGTGTTGTTTGACGGGTCTCCGTCTTTTTTGCATTAGGAGAGAGTGGGTGGAATGAACCCAGACAGGCTGCTTCTGCCGCTGTGGTTTTCTGAGCATAATAAGTTTCGACATGTCTCATTTTAAAAGCATCAGGAAATACATTCGCCCCACCCCCCCTGCATCACCGAAGGACACACGTCACCATCTCCTTTTGACCTTGATATCACTCTCAGCTTTACTTTTAAGGAAATTACATTTGAATGTTTTTGGAGTAAAAAAATAAACTTCTTCGCATAAAGAATGAGGGAGGAAACATTAGACAGATGACGGGGCAGGATGATGACATTTTATTGAAATGAATACCTGCGTAGTCATCAGCATGTGGGAAAAAAAGCCTTGTTATGCAAATCTGACAGACTGTAAATAATTAATAGTGATGGAATATTCTGCTTTAATAATGCACGTCCAGATAATTACTTACTGTCTTGTTTTCTCTTGGTCATGGCTTCCCGAATTTAAAGGAATAGTTTGCCCAATAATGAAAATAAGCCATTCAATATGTAGATGAGTTTTTTTCATCTGAACAGATTTGGAGAAATTTATTGTTACATCACCTGCTCACCAATGGATCCTCTGCGGTGAATGGGTGCCGTCAGAATGAGAGTCCTTAACAGCTGATAAAAACACCACAATAATCCACACCACAGTCCATAACACCTTACATCTTGTGAAGTAAGTAGTTTGCAAGAAACAAATCCATCATTAAAGGGATAGTTCGCCCCAAAAATGAAAATTATGTCATTAATTACTCACCCTCATGTCGTTCCAAACCCGTAAGACCTTCGTTCATCTTTGGAACACAAATTAAGATATTTCTGATTAATTCCGAGAGCTCTCTGACCCTCCATAGACAACAAGGGTCCTACAATGTTCAAGGCACAGAAACATACAGTAGTAAGGACATCGTTAAAATAGTCCAAGTGACATCAGTGGTTCAATCGTAATTTCACGAAGAATTGTTGAATAAAGTCGTTACTTTTGTTTTCTTTGCACACAAAAATTATTCTTGTAGCTTCGTAAAACTACGGTTGAACCACTGATGTCACATGGACTGTTTTAACAATGTCCTTACTACATTTCTGTGCCTTGAACGTTGTAGGACCCTTGTTGTCTATGGAGGGTCAGAGAGCTCTCGGAATTCATCAAAAATATCTTAATTTGTGTTCTGAAGATGAACGGAGGTCTTACGGGTTTTGGAACGACATGAGGGTAAAATTGACAGAATTTTCATTTTTGGGTGAACTATCCCTTTAAGGTGTTTTAACTTTAAACTGTGGCCAAAATATGAGTGCATAATCCATAATAATAATGCTTCCTCCAGTGAAAAGGTCCTCTCACATCAAAATCCACCAACATATTTGTTTAGGGCTATTTTGGACTGTTTTCACTTGTAAACAGTGCTTGATCTGAGCATATTTGTGGATTATTGTGATGTTTTTAACAGCTGTTTGGACTCTTGTTCTGACGGCACCCATTTATTGCAGAGGATCCATTGGTAAGCAAGTGATGTAATGCTAAATTCTCCAAATCTGTTTAGATGGAGAAACAAATCTTTTAATTGAACTGTCATTTTTGAGTGCGCTGTTCCTTTAAGAATTCTGCAGTCCCCTCAGTATATATGGGAATATATTGATGGCCCATAAAGCTGATCTATTCTATGATCAACTCAGTTGTATTTTAAAAATATTTTTTTAATTTATCAAAAGCAGCAAACATACCATGTACAATGTGGGCTCAGCAGTGAAATCAATCATTCAAATCCAAAGAAAACAAATGCTAAATATTGCTTTAACATTCTAACACCATATTCACAGAACTCAAACCACTGACTTCCAGTGTATAAAGACATTGTAACCGGGTTCACTCAGATTTTAATGAACACTGCATGACCTGAAGAGTACAAATAACATGAAAGGCATGAAAACAATTGCCAGCGAAGAGCTAACCTACATTTGCCTCAGCGTTCAAACAAGTTGACAGTAAAGTTCTTCAGAATCGTAGCAAAAACATCCTGAATCAGATTTGTTTGCCGATTCACCACTTTTGATTGCATTGATTCAGTTTTGATCTCCACATTGGAGATTCATTCATGTGGTTGGCCGATTCGCTTCAGTTATTGTTTCAAAAATTGTCAGCGTCAGCATTAATAAACTTTGATGTTATTTTGTTCTTTTTTTTTTTCAACATTCTTCTTTAGTAATACTCCTAGTCACGGTCTTCTTAGTTCCGGGCTTTTCATCCAAAATGTTTTTCGCTAGGTGAATATATAAAATTAACAGATATTTGGGCTCGCTAAAACAAGGCGTCGATTCTGCGACCTCAATGTCTTTATCTCTTCTTTTGGACATCAGCACAAAGTAGTTCTTGTCTGCATTTATTTTCTCAGATGAAAGTCAGTGCAATCAGATATAAAATGAGCGTCTTTGACTCGTAGGCTTATGGGCCGCAGGACGAGCTCCTTCGCGTATCACATGAGAACAGTAATGGCAAAGAGAGGTCATCGTAGACGGCAGACCGTTCCACAGACACTCCTGTCATAGAAGCTTCATAGCATAAACTGCACTTCGTTTATGAAACACGAACAGAATGAAATGTTGAAATTGTTCGTAAAGCCATTTTTGCGTAAACTGTCAGATTCGATAGCAACAACTCAAAACCAAGTTCTTCCTGATTTGTTCGGCATTCTCTATGTATTTTTGCATTACTCCATGTTTCTTCACTGTTCTCGCATGTAAACATTGTACAGCAGTCCAGTCCATGTAAGAATAATTTGTACGAACAATTTAAAGTACATGCATTTGAATTGCATGCATTTTATGATTGTAAAAATTTATGTAGCACTAGTTTTATGAACTATTTACATGAAAATTATGAACGCCACAATTTATGTAAAATGTTTAACAAACAATTTTCAGGAAAATAAATTGAATAATTTTACAAAGAAATTCATTCTGTTGTGTAAACATTGTCATTATAATGGTGTGTGCTCAGCAAAAGCGAATTTGTTTATTTGTGCAATTAGATTACATACAAAGTCAATGCAAAGATCTGAATAGACGCAAATTTGTACTGGGTGGCGCGAATGACGCAAATTGGGCAACGCGATTGTAGTGAATGTGCGCAATCGTGTCTTTCGCGCAAGTAGACAAATTTCAATTTGAGCAGGAAAATTCGCATGACGTGTTGTCACGCAAGCCAATCAGTGAAGAAGAGCTTATTGACACGTCCGGATGTAACAGAAAATGGAGGAGAGCATGAGTGATTTTTTTTTATTCGCACAAGTGACGTGAAAAACGCAAAGGTAATCTAGATTAAATAACACAATGCGAATATTCAATTCGCTTTTGGTGTACACACACGATAAGCAAAAATGTACACAAATTTGTTCTGTTTTCATTTAATGAAATGTCACAGTTTATGCAAGAATGATTTTACGAAAGATTTACGCAAATTCATCCTGCTTGCGCTTCATGAAAGAGTCTGTTTGATGTCAACTCTCAAAATGTAAACATTTGAAATTAAACCGTAAAATAAAAAACGTAATGGCAGCAAACATCTTAGTGCATTATAACCATACTTGTTTCATACAACGTGCTGTATTTACATGTAAGCGTTATTTGTCTGGTTCATTTATACTTTTGGGTTTGTTTTGTTCGTAAACCGTTAGCAGAGAGCATGTTCAGGCTAGCAGCAGTTGGGCAGAGTCGGCAAGAACTTCCGGAAGAACTTCCTGAACTCTGTGTTAAAGACGGTGTAGATGATAGGGTTGAGGGCACTGTTGACGTAGCCTAACCAGGTCACGATGCTGGTGACGCTGCTGGGGATGTCGCAGTCTTCGCAGAGAGCCCTCATCGTGTGCACTACGAAGAATGGCGTCCAGCAGAACAGGAAGCCCCCTGCATCACCGAAGGACACACGTCACCATCTCCTTTTGACCTTGATATCACTCTCAGCTTTACTTTTAAGGAAATTACATTTGAATGTTTTTGGAGTAAAAAAATAAACTTCTTCGCATAAAGAATGAGGGAGGAAACATTAGACAGATGACGGGGCAGGATGATGACATTTTATTGAAATGAATACCTGCGTAGTCATCAGCATGTGGGAAAAAAAGCCTTGTTATGCAAATCTGACAGACTGTAAATAATTAATAGTGATGGAATATTCTGCTTTAATAATGCACGTCCAGATAATTACTTACTGTCTTGTTTTCTCTTGGTCATGGCTTCCCGAATTTAAAGGAATAGTTTGCCCAATAATGAAAATAAGCCATTCAATATGTAGATGAGTTTTTTTCATCTGAACAGATTTGGAGAAATTTATTGTTACATCACCTGCTCACCAATGGATCCTCTGCGGTGAATGGGTGCCGTCAGAATGAGAGTCCTAACAGCTGATAAAAACACCACAATAATCCACACCACAGTCCATAACACCTTACATCTTGTGAAGTAAGTAGTTTGCAAGAAACAAATCCATCATTAAAGGGATAGTTCGCCCCAAAAATGAAAATTATGTCATTAATTACTCACCCTCATGTCGTTCCAAACCCGTAAGACCTTCGTTCATCTTTGGAACACAAATTAAGATATTTCTGATTAATTCCGAGAGCTCTCTGACCCTCCATAGACAACAAGGGTCCTACAATGTTCAAGGCACAGAAACATACAGTAGTAAGGACATCGTTAAAATAGTCCAAGTGACATCAGTGGTTCAATCGTAATTTCACGAAGAATTGTTGAATAAAGTCGTTACTTTTGTTTTCTTTGCACACAAAACTTATTCTTGTAGCTTCGTAAAACTACGGTTGAACCACTGATGTCACATGGACTGTTTTAACAATGTCCTTACTACATTTCTGTGCCTTGAACGTTGTAGGACCCTTGTTGTCTATGGAGGGTCAGAGAGCTCTCGGAATTCATCAAAAATATCTTAATTTGTGTTCTGAAGATGAACGGAGGTCTTACGGGTTTTGGAACGACATGAGGGTAAAATTGACAGAATTTTCATTTTTGGGTGAACTATCCCTTTAAGGTGTTTTAACTTTAAACTGTGGCCAAAATATGAGTGCATAATCCATAATAATAATGCTTCCTCCAGTGAAAAGGTCCTCTCACATCAAAATCCACCAACATATTTGTTTAGGGCTATTTTGGACTGTTTTCACTTGTAAACAGTGCTTGATCTGAGCATATTTGTGGATTATTGTGATGTTTTTAACAGCTGTTTGGACTCTTGTTCTGACGGCACCCATTTATTGCAGAGGATCCATTGGTAAGCAAGTGATGTAATGCTAAATTCTCCAAATCTGTTTAGATGGAGAAACAAATCTTTTAATTGAACTGTCATTTTTGAGTGCGCTGTTCCTTTAAGAATTCTGCAGTCCCCTCAGTATATATGGGAATATATTGATGGCCCATAAAGCTGATCTATTCTATGATCAACTCAGTTGTATTTTAAAAATATTTTTTTAATTTATCAAAAGCAGCAAACATACCATGTACAATGTGGGCTCAGCAGTGAAATCAATCATTCAAATCCAAAGAAAACAAATGCTAAATATTGCTTTAACATTCTAACACCATATTCACAGAACTCAAACCACTGACTTCCAGTGTATAAAGACATTGTAACCGGGTTCACTCAGATTTTAATGAACACTGCATGACCTGAAGAGTACAAATAACATGAAAGGCATGAAAACAATTGCCAGCGAAGAGCTAACCTACATTTGCCTCAGCGTTCAAACAAGTTGACAGTAAAGTTCTTCAGAATCGTAGCAAAAACATCCTGAATCAGATTTGTTTGCCGATTCACCACTTTTGATTGCATTGATTCAGTTTTGATCTCCACATTGGAGATTCATTCATGTGGTTGGCCGATTCGCTTCAGTTATTGTTTCAAAAATTGTCAGCGTCAGCATTAATAAACTTTGATGTTATTTTGTTCTTTTTTTTTTTCAACATTCTTCTTTAGTAATACTCCTAGTCACGGTCTTCTTAGTTCCGGGCTTTTCATCCAAAATGTTTTTCGCTAGGTGAATATATAAAATTAACAGATATTTGGGCTCGCTAAAACAAGGCGTCGATTCTGCGACCTCAATGTCTTTATCTCTTCTTTTGGACATCAGCACAAAGTAGTTCTTGTCTGCATTTATTTTCTCAGATGAAAGTCAGTGCAATCAGATATAAAATGAGCGTCTTTGACTCGTAGGCTTATGGGCCGCAGGACGAGCTCCTTCGCGTATCACATGAGAACAGTAATGGCAAAGAGAGGTCATCGTAGACGGCAGACCGTTCCACAGACACTCCTGTCATAGAAGCTTCATAGCATAAACTGCACTTCGTTTATGAAACACGAACAGAATGAAATGTTGAAATTGTTCGTAAAGCCATTTTTGCGTAAACTGTCAGATTCGATAGCAACAACTCAAAACCAAGTTCTTCCTGATTTGTTCGGCATTCTCTATGTATTTTTGCATTACTCCATGTTTCTTCACTGTTCTCGCATGTAAACATTGTACAGCAGTCCAGTCCATGTAAGAATAATTTGTACGAACAATTTAAAGTACATGCATTTGAATTGCATGCATTTTATGATTGTAAAAATTTATGTAGCACTAGTTTTATGAACTATTTACATGAAAATTATGAACGCCACAATTTATGTAAAATGTTTAACAAACAATTTTCAGGAAAATAAATTGAATAATTTTACAAAGAAATTCATTCTGTTGTGTAAACATTGTCATTATAATGGTGTGTGCTCAGCAAAAGCGAATTTGTTTATTTGTGCAATTAGATTACATACAAAGTCAATGCAAAGATCTGAATAGACGCAAATTTGTACTGGGTGGCGCGAATGACGCAAATTGGGCAACGCGATTGTAGTGAATGTGCGCAATCGTGTCTTTCGCGCAAGTAGACAAATTTCAATTTGAGCAGGAAAATTCGCATGACGTGTTGTCACGCAAGCCAATCAGTGAAGAAGAGCTTATTGACACGTCCGGATGTAACAGAAAATGGAGGAGAGCATGAGTGATTTTTTTTTATTCGCACAAGTGACGTGAAAAACGCAAAGGTAATCTAGATTAAATAACACAATGCGAATATTCAATTCGCTTTTGGTGTACACACACGATAAGCAAAAATGTACACAAATTTGTTCTGTTTTCATTTAATGAAATGTCACAGTTTATGCAAGAATGATTTTACGAAAGATTTACGCAAATTCATCCTGCTTGCGCTTCATGAAAGAGTCTGTTTGATGTCAACTCTCAAAATGTAAACATTTGAAATTAAACCGTAAAATAAAAAACGTAATGGCAGCAAACATCTTAGTGCATTATAACCATACTTGTTTCATACAACGTGCTGTATTTACATGTAAGCGTTATTTGTCTGGTTCATTTATACTTTTGGGTTTGTTTTGTTCGTAAACCGTTAGCAGAGAGCATGTTCAGGCTAGCAGCAGTTGGGCAGAGTCGGCAAGAACTTCCGGAAGAACTTCCTGAACTCTGTGTTAAAGACGGTGTAGATGATAGGGTTGAGGGCACTGTTGACGTAGCCTAACCAGGTCACGATGCTGGTGACGCTGCTGGGGATGTCGCAGTCTTCGCAGAGAGCCCTCATCGTGTGCACTACGAAGAATGGCGTCCAGCAGAACAGGAAGACACCTGGAGATGACAGGTGGAAAATTATTCAATGCACACGTTATTTACATAAACTGTTGTTCAATTAAATGCTCGACAGAATGACAACATCTCAAATTATAAATGCGTTTTCAGATGGCCTAATTCTTGCAATTTATTTCCTTTCGTTACTCATTTGATTGCGATCAATCAATTCACAAAAATTGGTTACAAGGGAAGTGTCTTTATTCATTTTAAAGTCTACCGGCGTTTTAAAAATGTGTCCCACCCTAACTTCCTGTCTCAAAAACAATACTTTAACACTGAAAGGAAACCATCATGAGATGTTTAAAGGGCCGTAACTATAATAACTATTAAGTTTTAATAAGCATTCTAATTCTATGAGAATAGTCCACAGTTATAACAATAATAACATAGAGGAACGGTATTTTTGGAATCACATTCAGAACAAAGGCAGACGACGAAACTCCAGTGTGCACTTATAATAAACAGATTATTATCGTCTGTTGGTGTGGACGCTAATAGAGTTATCGTTATCTTTATAGTTATCATTATTAGTGTGAAAGGACCGCAAAATTGATTAGTTCATAAGACTGAAAAAAAAAAAAATCAAACGGCTAACCATAATCAAAAGTCCTGTTCATACCAAGGACGATAGCTATAATGATAACTATAATGTTTTAATAATTGATATTGAACAATATTGTTTGAATCACTTTCAGAACAATTTTGTTTTCGGCTGTTGAATGATAAAAACATTGACAGCCAATCAGAATCCATAATCCAGCATTTAAAGTGGCAGACGAGAAAAATGCAGTGTGCTTATAATAAATACAACACTGTCGTATGTTGGTGTGGACACTAATATAGATTTAATTTTCTTTACAGTTAATACTCTGTGTAAACAAGCTTTAGAGCTTATTAGACACAAAAACTAAAAATCAAATGGCCAAAAAAAAAAAAAAAACATGAACAAAAAAAGTCATGTTCATATGGAAGCCCTTTTCCGCCACTGAATAAAAAATAAAAAAAAGGTTATTGCGACTTTTTATCTCACAATTCTGACTTTTTTTCACAGAATTGTGAGAGATAAACTCGCAATAGCGAGTTATAAAGTCAGAATTGCGAGATATAAATTGCAAACTCGCAATTCTGAGAACATATCAGTCTTTTTTCCCCCTCAAAATTGGACTTTAACTCGCAATTGCATGTTATAAAGTCATAATTGCGAGATAAAAACTCGCAATTCTGAGAAAAGAAGTCAGAATTGCGAGTTTTTATTACTCGCAATTGTGTTTATATCACGCAATTTTGAGAAAAAAGTCAGAATTGTGAGTTTATATCTCGCAGTTCTGACTTTATTTCTCAGAATTGTGACTATATCTCGCAATTATGACTTTTTAACTCGCAATTGCGAGTTTATATTACGCAATTCTGAGAAAAAAGTCAGAATAGTGAGATAAAAAGTTGCAATTACCTTTTTTATTTTTTATTCAGTGGTGGAAACGGGCTTCCATATGTTCATGCCTAGGATGATAACTAATGAGAACAATAAGATCAATAAAAATCATTCTAATTCTGTGACTACAGCTATAATTAACAACACAGACAGGGTTGCCAGGTTTGCAAAATTAAACCATCCCAATTGCTATTGAAAACTATCCCAACACTAGCCCAATTATATTTTTTCCACAGTTTTCCCCTCTGTTGAAATTGTTTTCTGGGTAGATCGCTTTAACCTGCAGACTAAAAAAACAACCTACAGCAACAGTGTAAAAGTAGCCCAATTTCGCAGGAAAACCACAGACTTGGCAACACTGGACAGAGGAACAACACTGTTGGAATCATTTTAAGAACTTTTTTCCCAGCTGATCAGCAATAAAAACATTGACAGCCAATCAGAATCTACCCAGCTTTATAGCATTAAAAACAGCAGACAAATAACTGCAGGGCATGCTTATAATAAGCAAACGATATTGTCTGTTGGTGTGAATGAACCTACAGGATCACATTTATGCTACAGTACAGTGAGCATCTAACTCTGTCCACTTCATTTTACAGGTTTTTAGAGGCAGGCGTAACTACAATAATTTTTCTAAACTGAGCAAGCATCTCCAATCACAGATATAAGGTATTTGATTCACTTCTACTCCGAGAGCTTCCAGACAGAAGCACAGAAGTAACGGAGGGTCGCTCTGGTCAGAAATATGACCTGTCTGTTCCACAGATCTGTCATCCGTCAGAAGTGAGAGGAAGGAGAGAACAGGTAGGATTGCTGAAAGTCCCCGTAAAGGACATTAACGTTTATCTCTGCACTTTTATAAATAAAAACGTTTCCAAAAGGGTTTTTCTGAAGCGATTCCATAGAAGAACCATTCTTGTTTTCCTACACTCTTTATTGGCATCTATAGTTCCACAAATAACCTTTAACATTCATTTCTATACCACGAAAGGTTCTTAATGGTGGAAAAAGGTTCTTCAGATTATTAAAATGTTCACACTAAGAACGGTTCTTCTATGGCATTACTGTAGAAGTCAATGGGGTCCAATTTGGAGTACTTTGGCTTTTATGCTTTTTTATTTTACAAACAATTATGTTTTAAATGAAACATTTGATCTGAGATTGAGCTTTTGAACATGACTGGCAATGTGCATTGTGGAAATCCTGACCTTTAACTGTCCCTCTCTCTCTCTCTCGTCTGTACTCAGGTTGACAAGAGGTGAAAGGATTGGCAAGTACTGTCAGTACTGTACGGAGTGCATCGGTGGCGCATCTCCCAGGAACCCGTGAAGAGGATAAGTGCATGTCTTAATGTGACGGCTGCCCCCACTCTGCCTGCTGGACTAAAGTGAGGCTTACATCATAATCGGATTGGAGGATTGGTGAGGAATGATTAGCCAATGAGGGCTGGAGGAGTTCCTCGTTTCAGCACATGTGGAAAGAGTGTTTGTAATCACTCCTCCAAGCCCAGTTTAGAAGCCAGAGGCTATTTTTTTTTTAAATCTTTTTCTTTTTTTGAGATCACAACACCTCTGACAGAGATAGTGTAGAGAGCAGACGTGTAAATGCGCGTCTGCAGTTTTATTCTGGTGCATTTTATGGTTGAATCAGAGCTGCACTTTTAAAAATAAAGGTGCTTAAAAGGTTCTTCACAGCGATGCCATAGAAGAACCATTTTTGGTTCCACAAAGAACCATTCAGTCAAAGGTTCTTTAAAGAACCATCTCTTTCTTACCTATTTATAATCTGAAGAACCTTCTTTCGCCAACAAAGAAGCTTTTGTGAAACAGAAACAGTTTTTCAGATGTTAAAGGTTCTTTATGGAACCATTTAGACAAAAAGGTTCTTCTATGGCATCGTATTGAAAATGTACTAGAAAATAAATTCCTTGTTCCTTATAAAGAAAACACTGTATTGTTTTCTTTAAATTCCTTTGCCTAAATAATACATACATACTAAATACATTTTAGGCAAAAATGTTTCTTTGCTAACTGCCAGGGCACAGCTCAGACCACCTAACTGAATGATTGCTACACAAAATTGCTTAAATTAAACACTTAATTAACTTTTTAATGTAATTTTTTTGAAAAAGCATGTCATGGTCATTCTCTCCTTCAAACAAACTGAATTGAAGGCTGTAAAAAAAAAAAAGCTATAAAAAAAAATTAATAAATAAATAAAGGTTTTACTATAAATTCAAAGTAGTTTTTTAAGGTTAGAATGTTGGTTGGGCTCTGTTAAGTGGACCGTCAATTAATTTAAAAAAATTTTTTTTCACTTAATTAAAAAGAAATTCTGAAAAACATGTCATGGTAATTTCCTCTTCAAAAAATCTGCAAATTGAAGGCTATAAAAACATGTAAAAAATGATTTAAAATATAAATGTTAATATAATATAACTTCAAAGTAGCTCAAAGTAATTCAAAGTAAAGAATTTTCGGGGTATAAAGTTGGGTGTGCTCTGTTTAGTTTAGACTCAATCACTGTTAGTGCAAGCTGTTTTGAAAAATGAAAATACTCAAATTCAACTCTGAATTTGTAACATTTAGACAAAAGTAAGTAAAATGTAAAGTCTAAGTTTATATTTTTTTGCTGCAGGAAGGTCTGTGACTGACATCATTTATTTTTCAAATTATAAAATAAAAATGTGTTATAATTAATAATAATATTATTAATAATAATAATAATTATTATTATTACTATTATTATTATTTTAAAATATTTTTTTCTTAATAATAACAATACAACTTTTTTCCCCCTCACTACTCTAAAGTGCATAGACCCAACTGATCGATAATTAATTTTCAGCTTTTTCTTTATCATTAATTCATTATCAATAATTTCATAAATTTTTAGAGATTTTATTAATTATTTGTTGTAAACCTAATCACAAGCTGAAAATTCAACAGCAGTGAGACCGAAAAGTGAGTAGTTGATGCAAAACATGAAACCCCTGAACTTCGTCATAATGCATAACGATTTTGGATGACGATTTATAAGTGAAATTGAACATTTCAGATGCAGTAGATGCTGGCCTCCATTTCTTTCTTCGTAATTTTTGATCAGTAGAAAAAAGTATTTTTTTCTCGCAGGCTATATTCAGCCTGAACAATTAAAAGTTCGTAACTATACATTGTCCATCATAACTGACATATTTATACATAGAATCCGAAATTTGTACATTTGTAAATAACATATCTCTACATTCATTTAAACAATTACAGTTGTTTTCTATACTTCTACGTCTGTATATAGTGCATTATTTAATTCTGCTTTTCTTATATTAGTGTTATATTCCACATGTTTCACATCAGCTTACCTACTACAACAGGAAGCACCCTCATGGCTTTCCTCTCCCTCCTGTTTATTTTCGCTCTCTTCCTTTGCTGGTTCTGGTTTTGATCTTTATTGTAGCTCCTGGCGGGGTATGCGAGCATGGACACGGGATCCGGGCTGTCAGGATCGGGGTAGTGATCGTGGTCCAGCTCCTCTAAGGTAATGTCACTCAGGTCTTTCTCGATCACGGGCGGCAGAGGGGGCGGCAGGCCAGACAGCGGCTGCAGGGACGCGGCGGCCTCCTGAAGCTTTCTGCAGGCCTGCATGCTGCTCCTCAGCTTGGTTTTCCTCGCCGCCTCCCAGTTCCTCAGGCCCCGGAACATCCCGCAGTACAGCAAAAGCATGATGGGGCATGGCACGAAAAACGAACAGACGGAGGAGTACACCACGTAGTTGTTGTCCTCCAGCTTGCATTCGCTGTGGTCCCGGTTGGGGACGTTGTTGATTCCGAACATCACGGGGGAGGCCACGGCCAAGGCCAGGATCCATGTGGCGGAAAGCAGGACAATCTGTCGCTGGTCCACGTGTTTGCGGTTGTAATTAAGAGGGACGGAGACTGCGATGAACCTGGAGGGAACCATATGAGGTATTACAAAGACAGTCCATGCAAAGCTATTAAATCAACATCCAAATTTTCTTGACCCTGATGAACACTTTGCTTTTATCATGATATGCTAGCTAAGCCACTGCTCGAATCTCTGATTCGCTGATTGAGTTGACCCAATTATGTGTTGACCTGATACTCCCCTGAACCTTCCACTGCTAATCAGATAATATCACACATATTCAACTTGTGTGTGTTTTATAATGTGATTCCAGTTTACAGAAGGTTAACGTAAGGGTGAATCTAACATAACCAGTGAAATGTCTAGGTCATATTTCACACTAAAATCAACATTGAGAAATTGATTTTTTTTCCCTTAGATTTAATATATATATATATATATAGTGGTGTGAAAAAGTGTTGGCCCCCTTCCTGATTTCTTATTTTTTTGCATGTTTGTCACACTTTAATGTTTCAGATCATCAAACAAATTTAAATATTTGTCAAAGATAACACAAGTAAACACAACATGCAGTTTTTAAATGAAGGTTTTTATTATTGTTACGTTTTATATACAGTATAAAACTTAAGTCAAGTCATTCAAATAAAGAAAATAAGCTATTCCAAGCCCAGAGTCGATTATTCGAAAATAACTGTTTTGATCTAATAAGTCATATCCAATGGGTCTGAGTGCAGTTATTGGATAGCACTAGACAGATTGGAGATTAATCCTAATAAACATGCCACTACAATTAAAACCATTACATTAAAATACATTTAAAACAGTGTATTTCAATAACTTCAGCAGTGTGCAGATCCTCGTGTCAGGACTGTGGCGACAGCAGCGCTTAGCTCACTCACATCGTTTTTATGACATATGTCGTTATTACGAGAAAAGATGTCGTTTTAATGAGAAAACATCTCATTACGAGAAAAGATGTCGTTTTAACGAGAAAACATCTCATTACGAGAAAAGATGTCGTTTTAAAGAGATAATTATGTCGTTTTAACGACATAGCATCTCGTTTTATGAGAAAAGATGTCGTTTTAACAAGAAAATATCTCGTTATTACGAGAAAAGATGTCGTTTTAACGAGAAAATATCTAGTTAAAACGACATAACACCTCGTTATTACAACATAATTGAGTGGAAAAAATAACGTGTGTGGCAGCAATGCATCACCGTAATATACACACACACACACACAAATACTACATATATATATATATATATATATATATATATATATATATATGTATATATTGTATATGTCTCAGCTAATTTGTGATGCATTAAAAAGGTGAGACGTGTAGTGCAGCCCAGGCCAGGGACCCGGCCCACCCACACGGCCCACTTACCCTTTGTATGTGTCTCCCTTTTTTTCTTTTTTTTTTAAATAGAATATATTTATGTACACACAAATACACATACATACATATGTGTGTGTGTATATATATATATATATATATAATTCTGTATGTATTTATGTATTGGGGCAAAAAATGCTTGTCATTATTTATATTTATAATGTATTATTTATAATATAACATATATATTTTTCTTTATGCAAAATACAATTTTATATTTTGAGGGGTGCAAATGTAGACTGATTTGTGCGATACACCTATATATTTGAGATTCATGCATAAAATGTTATTTAATAACTGGATGATTTGCTGTTTGTAATGACTTTTAGAGTTTTATGTTATCTATGTACAGCACTTAGGTGCATTTTATGGTTTTAAACGGGCTTTATAAACAAATTTGAGTTGAGTTCTCTTTGAATTTAACAGGTTCTCAAAGCTGTATATAATCATCATATCAGTGATAGAAACCGCCATGTGCCTTTATTATTGGCTGGGTATGTTTTCAAACAGGAGCGTGGTTTCAAACAACTCCTGCCGCATGAAGCTGTTACACACAACGGCGGTCCGTCTATCTGCTCTCCACACATTGCTTTTTCATGCTGATTGTGTGGCGAGTTCTGCCAAGCCATGCGTTTGCAGCCTTTCCTTGCAAAACAAGTTTCACGCTGCTGTATCTCTACAGAGTGCCGTCCTGAGCGTATATCTCATTAATCTCTCAAAACACCTTCTGCTGAGCCACACAGAATGGCAGGAGGGATCTTAATGACCCTGCGGTTGACTCGAATCGCCAGGCCAGCGACGGCAGGACAGCAGAGGAGCGTCTAAATGAGGAATCAGTTGTAATTCCGAGGTAAAGCATGAAACTTAATGCCATTTAGTTATTCTGAACACATTTGCTCAGTCTCTATCTCTACCCGTCTCTCTGTTCTTTTAATCATAGCAGGAATCCACTTTTATTATAAATGCTATTTCATCGTGTCTTCAAACAGACCCACAATTAGGAAGGTAACCTGCTGTGACCCTTACAGCTTCCAAAATATAAAACTAGCTGTGCAAAATCAGTGTACTGCATGAATTTGATTCATCAATCCTCGGCTCAATTGCCATGAGTTCAAGCATCAGACTTTGAAGGCCTGTTTTACACATTTTGTGCCCTTCACACAGCATTTCTATAACTCTTATCCCCAAAATAAAGTGGTTTCTGGGTTACCACAGTGAGTTTTTCTTTAATAATGACTGTAAATAAATAATTTTTTATTAGAAGTAGCTGCAAACTACTGTATATTGGCATGAAATCGAATTTGCGTAAGGTTGGGAATAGGGTTATTATATTTACCTAAAACTATTATAAGTTTTCCTTATTTGTGTGAGAAAATATTTGCTTTTAATATTTTAAATAATTAAATAAATAAGTTAACTGAAATAAAATATAAAAAGTAATTTAAAAACTTGTGATGTACTACATTAAAACTAAAACTGAACTAACAATTAACAAAAGATATATAGACACGTTTTTGAAATAATAATAATAATGGCAAAACACTAAGCTGCTAAACTAAATTACAAAAATTTAACTAAAATTAAAATGGAAAATATACATTTTTTAAATATTTACAAAAGCTATTATAGTATCTCATTGATAACACTGGTTGGGAATTACATTTACATGCAAATGGATATTCATCTTTTAATCGCGCAGAGTTTGTCCAAACTGAATCTGTACAAAGTGTGTAGTGTTTGAAGAGGCTAAAATATACTTTTATATTATATATTTATATAAATAAAAAAAATATATATATATATTTTTTATTATTATTTAAGTTTTACTTAAATTTATTTAATTATTTTGATGACTTTGATTAAAAAATGTGGAAAGCAGTCCATGACACACCTTTCAAAACTTGTAATGCATGGGCGTTATTTTACAGTTTTATTTACAGATTTTTAATTGATATTTTTATATAATTTCATTTTTTATTTTAATATATTCCATTTTAATTTTAATTTTAGTTGAAGTTTTCATAATTTTGTTGTTTTTTCACTATTATTATTATTAATATTATTTAAGTAAGTCTGTTCTTATTAATATTTATTTTAGTTTGAGGCCTTTTAGTACTTCGGGTTAAACTAAAAAAAAAAGGGAAGTTATGCTTATTGCTAACTGAAATAAAATAAGTTTAATTTTTTTAATATTTACTTTTATTTTAGTTAACAGTTTTTTTTAGTAATAATAATAATTAGTTTTCTTCATGTTTTTTTTTTTTTTATATATGTAAAATTTTATTTTATAAAAAATTTTTTGTTGTTGTTTATGATAATAACCGTGTGTCCCGCAGGCGCAGACGCATTGTGTGCAACAGGTTAAAGTCAGACCCACCTGTCTATGCTGATGGCGCAGAGGTTAAATATAGAGGCGGTGCATAGCATCACATCCATGGTCATCAGTCCATCACATACGGTCATATTGAGGGACCAAACCCCATCCTGGAACTGAGAAGGAGAGAAAATCATCACCGTATTTAACTCCTCACACATTCGTTGCTTCTATCATCCATGCCTCTTTTTACCCTCACCATTTTTTTTTCCAATCCCTCCGTTCCCATGGCTCTCTGACCTCTTTCACCTTCCCCTAACCTCGTGTTCTTAGTGCCACAGCGGACGACTGTGGAATCTTAATTTCTCTATTATCAGCTTGGCGTTGTCACAACAACCAAACCAAACACACACACACCACATGCTCCGGGGCTGATGGTAATTTAGTATCTGATACGCATCCCGTGGTCTAACAAAAAGAGATAAAACAGCAGAGAGGAGGATTTAATGGCATTTTAATTATTGGCCTGGAGAAGAGGACAGATTCTTAATTGCTTTTTGGTAATGGCCTCTCTCCCATGCCAATGAGCCACATTCACCCTACAAGTGGAAGCCATGAGATTATGGTGAGGGGGCTCATGTAAAATTGTAATTAAGCTACAGCTGACTCACTGGAGCATATTTTCTCCGTGTACTTGGCCTGAAGAGCCAGCCAGACCACCATGAGCCGTTTGCTTCACTCCCGGTGATCTTGTCCCTGCTGTCTGGGGCCCTCAGTATCCAGTCTAGGGGACTCGGTAACCAGCGCGGCCCCGAATCCATGCCTGAATGGAATGTCCGATCGCTAGTTTTTTGGAGGCCTCTTTGGTCTCGGACCTCGCGCCCACATCCCGGGGTGGCAGACAATGCGTATTGTGCGATGTGTGTTTATGACGTCCGGCTCTGGCGGAGACAGACAGTCTCGGCAGGAGGGGGCCGGATGAATGCATGTCTGCAAAGTGTTTCGCTGAAGGGTAACAATTGAGTATTGATGCTAAGTTTGTTTTGCGCTGTTATGGAACAGTTTCATATAGCTGTTTATTCGAACGGTTAAGAATTTAATTAAAATCAAGTAAATAGATGAAAGATCGCTGATTACCGTTACCATGGTAGCCATAGTTAATGGCAAGCTACTTCAATTACTGTTGAAACAAAACAACAAAAATTCAACTCTAAAATCACTAAAAATGTAATATTAAAATAACTTATTTGTTTGTGTATATAAGTGTATGTGTATACACAAAAATAGATATATATAAAAATTTAATATTTAAATATATTACTAACGTATAATTTATTCATTTATATTTATGAATTTATTAATAAATGTTTAATAATTAAATATTGCATATATATATATATACATGCACTCAAAATTAAATATTTTAAAATTACATAAATATTGCATGCAATTCGTTTTATATATGCAAGTATATACATGAACAAAATTAATTCATTTACATGTATTAATATTTTTATCCCCCCCCCCCAAAGTTTGTTAATTGTTTTTAAGCCAGAAATATTGAATGAAATCACGTTATTACATATAGCTGACTTGAAATAAATTAGGTTTAGTATAGACAATAGCTATACCAGCATGAAAGTGGTCAAAACTTACAGTGGTACCAATAATAAGGTTTTACCTCGTCATTTAAGATGATCACCAGGTAAACCAGCTTAGCAGGTTTTTAATGTAGGTACAAACCTGTTAGTTTTCTTGCCACCTTAAGCATTGTAAATATTAGGCTGTAATACAATATTAGCCTATATGAAATATCTAGGAAATGAAGTGTCTTGACTCACCTCTGCATACACGAACAGCGGTAAGACCAGAACAGCCAAAAACAAATCAGCAACAGCCAAACTGACTATGAAGTAGTTGGTTGTGGTTTTCAGCGCTTTCTCCGTGTAAACGCTCAGACACACCAGCACGTTCCCGCAGATGATGATAATGATCAATAATATCCCGAAGATGAGCGCTGGGAAGCTGTAGTTCGTGGTGTGGCTGGAGACGGTGAGGTTGGCTGGCATGTCTGCCTCTATAATAACCTGTCATCTGGGAATCCCTTGATAAAACTGACCGATAAAACCCGTTTCTTTGCCATTATTTGCGCGTTTCTGAACACTCCGAAAGTTCCGCTGAACTCCGAAGCGCTTTGGAACTGCGTCCCGTTATGTTCTGTCTTTAAAGGAGAAAAGAAGGTCACAGTAAGCTCTAAAATCATCGCTGTTCATTCTTCGCTGTTTGACGCAAAAGTTTTCTGTCAGGTCCACATCTCAGCTCGACCGCTTCTATTTCCATCCACCTGCGCGCAGTCTTAAAGCGGCTTACAGCGACGCGTTATTACTGTTAATATATGAGGCGTTTCATTATATTACCCTGGGGTTATTGAAAACGCTTATCTTTATAATAACATCACTTGTTAAAGTTAGTGAATTTGGCTGTATAAAGCCAGTGGCGTGTCATCGTTCCACCGGTTGTATATCTGTCCGCTTTAGTTTCACCCTAACAATCCACGGGAGTGCTAATCTCGTCCTGTTGACGGTGGGTGTGACATTTTACACGACTGGCTGAAGGATGGAGGTTTAAATCTTGCGTTATTTGAACGTACGCTGCCATATTAAATCGCTTATTTAATCGGTGATTCGCACAGTGGACAAAAAATAATATATATAAATATTATTTTTTTATTTTTTTTAATTAAATAAATTAAATAAATAGTAATTTTTGTCCACTGTGCGAATCACCGATCTCATGAAAGTGCGTATCAGTAGCACGTGTTTATGTTTCGATTTGGCATACTATTTATACGCAGAAATGGACTTTGGCGTGCATATGATACGCAATTGGTAGGATTAGGGTTGTTGTGGGGTAGATGCGTATGGTATGTACGCGAAAACAGCGTATCATATGCACGCCAACAAATTGCGTATCATATGCACGCAAAAACTGCACAGTAGGGCCTATGCACGTCAAACACGTACGTATCAAGTCCATTTCTCAAGACTTTGTATTTGGCATACTATTTATACGCATTTTCATTGTCGTTCCTTGCACAGATAGCTAAGCACCGACTGTCATAAAGAAGTTTTGTGAATCTGTAGTAAAGTGGAAAAAATAAGGACAGTTTGACTCGAAGTGCTAGCTAGTACTGGTGTTATGATTACTTCAACGCCATTTTTGTTCGCGAGCGGGAAGATGCGTGACTGACTTTAGCGGTTACTGAAATTTTCATGATTGTTTTTCTTTTTCCTAGTATTAGCTATTCTTTCCCCCCAAGATTTTAAATTAAAATGTATATAATTGTATAAGATCAAGTTAATATGGGTTTACAAAAACCTTATTTATTAAGTAAGTAAGCTGTTTTCTGTGAATGTGTGAGACTTCCGCTTCATTAGCCGTGGCGAGGAGGATGACAAAGTGCAATAAAAACCGTACAATTGATTGTGCTACAACCCAGTGTGTTTATAATTAAGATAATACTTTATAATAATGTGGTAAAAACACAAGTTTGCAATATCAAGCAGCAAAATGAGCACAACTAAAAATAGCTGGAAGCGGATGACACCGGAAGCCAGACACATTAAATTTACAAATGGCCATACCCACTCTTATGGGGAAAATAAGGTGGATAATCCCTTATTAGGAAAATGAACCATGGTTTTACTACAAATTAATTAAAAAAACATGGTTAGTGAAGTTAATCCATATGGTAACCACAAATTAACCATGGTTTTGCTACACTAACCATCGTTTAACTAAATGTTAGGCTATTTGTAGTAAAAATGTAGTTATACAAATGGTAATCAATTCGGCAAAAAAATTGGTTACCACACTTTTACTATAATAAAACCATGGTTAATTTTTTTGTAAGGGAAATAATAATAGAAATAGAATATTTAGAAATCATTTTAGACAGAGTTTTGCATGTCGCACAGCAGGATACATATGTCATGCCAGCACTCCATCTGTGTCCCTCACAGAACAATGGTTTATGTGTTTGTCTTTTGTAAAATGGCCGGTTAAACATTTGTCAAAACAAATTAGTGCTGCTTTCATTCGGGCTGCCGTGTGTAGAAGTTTACGCAGGTGTCTGGTGTGTCTCTTTGTGTCTGAGATCCATCCATTAGATATAGTGGCTTACGGTACATTAATTAACAGAATTTTGGATACAATGGCGAGCGAAAATAAAGGCAATTCGGATATTATAATAGCATATAACAATAAACATGCTGTTAGGAATGACATTTTATAGTAATAGTAATAATGCATGTAAATGAAATTACATAATATTTTTTTTAGTCGTTTTTATTATGATTGGCATGCCTCTATAATCCATTCCACTGAGGAAGCTTAGTAGTCCTGGATGACATCATTATCATAATCATTATCAACATTGTCATCGCGATTAGTGTTTACTCCACCGTGGAGAGGAGAGCTGCGGTGGAAATGTTTGATTGGGTCTAAGCTGCTTTGATCCAGACGTTGTTGTCTAACCTTTCAAATCTGACCCACAAACAGCTAAATGATGTTAAGTGTTGTCATGGCTTTTTAATTCAAGTTTGCTATTTCCAAGACAGAATTTTGTTGCTCATATGGCCAGTGACAGTCGCTGGACACAGCCAGTGAGAGTGATGAGCTTGTGTGCCACCCTGCATTGTGACATAATCAGTTTTGCCATGGATTATCTGTGTAGGTTTTTATCTGCATTATGATAAATCTTTGAGTAATGCTTTGACCTTTCCAGGTTGTAAAGACGAATGCAGGAGCGTTGACCTTTTATGTATAAAAGGCCTGCTGTTTTGTTCAGCCGAAATGTGAGTAAAACTCATTAATTCAGTAAATTTAGTAATAATATGACATATGTATATTTATATGTATTGATTGAAATATTGAAGATGAATGAATTTGTTGTCTCAATTTTATTTTGTGGCTAACCATCAGTTAAATAGGAATATCTGCACCTGTGACCTTTTATGAGTGATTTATTATGATTATTAATTTCTGAGTTACATAGAACTGCATTGGAGGAGACTGAACTGAACTTTCAGACAGCAATACATCAAACTGGTAAGATAAACAACTTGAGTTGAACTAAAACTTACAACTTTTGCATAGAAGTTCTGGTTGCAAAAGTTAATTTATGGACAGCATCTGTGATGTGCTGTTGAATTTATATTTTAAATAAAATTATTAAAAATAAAATGTATAATAAGTAAAAATTTTTTTTTTTTTTTTTTACAAATAAACTATATTTTTAGTTGTGTATATATTAATTAGTTGGCTAAATTATCATTTAGTTGTGGACTGCTGTTTTCAGGCCTACTTTTTTCACACTGGGGGGGAAGCGTGAAAAAAAAAATGTCACTCATATTGCACTCACTTGAGCTCCAGTAGAGAAAATTTGATCAATAATTTGCAGTTTGTGGAAGTAAATCAGTCCTGTGTTTGTGTCCTGATTAAAGTATCGATCTAGTCAGGGAAGTATCTTTATCAAAGACAGGACACATAAACACTTTGATATTTTCTGTCATATCTTATCTTTTTCTTTCTAGACAGAATGAAAGTAAACACCTCTGTTTTAATCAATGTGTTTGACGTTTTTATTTTGATCTGTGCATGCTGTTGCAGCATGAATTGTTGTGTTGTTATTAAGTGACCTACAAATCCATTTGTTATCGCTTGTAAGTTGTGCATTTCTCATCTATATCCCATTCCCTTCTCATTAATGTCAGATTAAACCTTAAATAGTATTCAAATAAAAACTTACTGTCTCCATAAAACGTTATTAAATCTTATTCGTATCTTAAATCTTAAGTGTCAATTTACTGTAAAGTGCAAGGCTCGGTTAAAGTGAAGGGACAATAACATTAAATCTAAACGTCAGAGAAAAACTGAAGAGAAAACGTACATCAACTAATGCAAAAAAACTGTTCTGGGGTGCGTTGCCTAAACAATGACGTAACTCGCTACCATAGTGCGATGCATTGTTGGAGAAACTAACTAGCTAATCACGACTCTTTCCTGAAAAGGATTTTTGTCACACATCCGCCATTCACACAATGTTGGTTAAAATGGTCATTAATGATGTCAAGCACCTAGGTGGTGGAGTAATAACTTTGGCTGATTAATTAGTTTGAGATCAAATTAATGTCAGATTAATGCTGTAAATAATGAACATGGCATCTGAGGACTGATTCAATGTTTTTTGTCTATTATTTGGCTGGTTCCCTCATGTCAGTTCAGGGTTCCTCATGGGACTAAAGCTTGTATGCACATGCTTATAAAACTGTTTAATTCTCATAACAAACTAAAAGACTTAGAATTAAATTTGTACATACATGGAATGAAAAATATAGATTTTTTTGCTCAATTTATTTTGCTCAGGTGTCTGTCATTTTAAGAAGAAACTATGCTTCCAAACACAGGTTGAGAGCTGTAGTTCAAGCCACACAATGTTGTGATACTGTTTGCGAATGTTCATTGGAAATGTGGATTCGGGAAACACCAAATCGTTGAACTATGTATCTTGGAGACGTTGCCACAGTTCTTCTGGATTGAGTCTCAGTTTATTCTGTGTCTTCAAGTCATTCCAGACAGACTGGATGATGATGAGATCAGATCTCTGTGGAGCACTGGCTTTTGACAGACAAAAATCTCACTGGATTATTACAATTAATGCAAATAAATGTAAGATAGAAATAACTTAAAACCATTTTTTAGCTGCTGAAAATACTAGTGTTCTAATCATTTTGGCCACCATTGTAGGTAACGATGGAACTTGCAACCATAGCTGGCTAGCTATGCTTTTCAAAAACATACCCAAGATCGGGTCGAGAAAAGCAGGATAAATGCAATGCTAAACACTTATAATAAAATGGAACTATCTATATAATCATGTAGGCCTATAGAATTGGAAAAAAAGGCTTAATAGCCTAAAATTAGTATATATTTTTTATTGTTGCAGTTTCAAAGGCTTTTTTTTTTTTTGGTGCAGATTCATTCATCACTGTTAATATTGCTAATATTAATAAAATTTTTATGTTAGTGTTTCATGTGTTAGTCTAGTAACTTCTGGTGTTGTTTATGTATTAAAAATGATCATAATCACCTTTGCGATATTATTATATTGAACAATACTGCATTTTGTTGGGCCTATGCAGATCGTACACTCTTAAAAATAAAGGTTCCACACAATAACCATTTGTAGTTCCACAAAGAACCTTTCAGTGAACAGTTCTTAAAAGAACCATTTCCTTTTCTTAATGTGAAGAACATTTTAATAATCTAAAGAAACTTTTGTGGAATGGAACGGTTCCATGGATGTTAAAGATTCTTCATGGAACCATCAATGCCAATCAAGAACCTTCCAGTTTGCACCAATTTAGCTATGTTAGCATTATGTCCAAAGTCAAATCTGTGTTCTGAAGCAAAACCAGTTGAGAACCACTGATCTGCATTACTAACCGGTCGGTCACGGGTTCAAACCCCTTAAGCT